GGGTACGTCATCATCGTCATCCTCCTGAGCCGGAGGAGCAGCAGCAGCGGGTACCTGCTTCTGGAACTGCTCTGCTAGCCTCCTCAGGTTGTCTAAGTTATCAGGACCTGATTATGAAAGTTACTAGTTCAATATATAGGAGAAGTAATGTGCATGCACGTATTTAGGAATACTATGTTATGATATCTGAGATATCTTTTTTGGTATTTTATGAAACATGTCAATTGCTTATTACTGCAAAGAGAAAAAAAAAATTACAAATGTAGCAGCTTATTATGAAGTTGGCACTCAGCATTTCCCATGAAAAAAAGGATGTCCTACAACATAATTTCTTCATTACATGTTACACACGCAAATTGAAATGGAAGCAATGGAAGGGGCAATCCTTACAAAAATAATGGATCAAGCAGAAATGGTGAATTGTGTTGTAGATTCAAAAAATGATTGAAATTAAGAGATAATAGACAAATGAACATTCTTTTAGGAAAGATAAAAGGAGACAATATTTAAAAATTAAAAAAGAAATGGTGATGACTGCACAACTTTTAAAAAGATAATTCAACTTCAAAAGAGAACAAAGATTGTTTTTGAACTGGAATAGAGGGGAGAATCGCTCTCTACAGAAAACGGACAGGAGACATGGAGCACATAAATGTCTCCTTGAGCTACTTTTTTTTTATTTTAAAAACAAGCGAATTTTAAGAGCATAGAGAAATATCATCTGGCCAACCACAGATTCACTAGTGTAGGAAAACAGTGTGACTTCAGTAAACAGGAAAACAAAAACAAACATCACAGAATCAGGGTGAGCAAAGAAGAATATACCTAGTTGGTTCAGTATGCTAGGCAGAACATCCTGAAGTCCTGTCACCAAAACAATCTCATACATGTGAGCAGCAATCAGGAGAGGAATGCTTTGCAAATAACACATAGATTACTCCAATGCATAAGAAAAGATACTTTTGACGCCATATAATATAAAGCTATAAAACGTAAAGAGCCAGTGTCTTTCAAAGTTATACCATCATTGCAACATGTATGTAATATATAAAACAAGTGAAAGAAGAATACTTTTTGTCTGAGGAGAACCGCTGACGACCCATGTATTGGCAGCAATTGAAGCTTGCACTGCAGGAGAACTCAAAATTAGTAAAGATTTAGGAAGCTCAACATTAGTTAGCTAAAATTGCATGACAAATATAAAGTACGTTTTCGTCGTTTTACTAATTTGATGTAGCAGTCACCTTTAGGGTTCTGAAATTGTATCACGAAATCATCTTTGAAAATGTTGACCTCGTCTATAGCAGGGATAGCATTGACCCCTATTCTTTTCAAAGTGCTCTGAAGCCTTTTGTCATCTGTCGTAGTTGTCTTATGGACTGCCTTCTTCTTCCTAGTAAACATAATTTAAAGTTAGATTAAGAAGCGCAGAAACTTGTTCCACGGTATGTTTACTGTGGTTTGCTGACAAATGCAGAACCCACCCTCCAAAACCAGAAAATCATGTCATACACTCAGCTTTTGCTTTGGCTTAATATAACCTGGAACCTCGTATTGAAGATGGTTAAAATTTTCATGCGACTAAGCTAAAGAATAGGTCGATCGTTTTCCATTCTAGATAAAGCACAGTAAAGAAAGATACTCTTTGCCAGCTGTGTACATATAATATTTCGATTTTAACATTACGATAGGCTTAAATTCAATATGGGATGACCATCTCATATGGCTAAGCTCATCTACTCTCTTGAACTATCATTCTCCATTTTTGACAAAGTACAAAACGAAGGGACATTTTGTTTTCTATTGAGCTCAAACCCTATAACCAAATGTTTACACAGGGATGCCACCCAAAAATCAATGAATGTTACATCATAGCATTTACTGTGGGTTTGATTCTGTAGAAAAAAAGCATATGACCATTCTACATGAATTTAGTTGATCTGCTCTCATAAACTATAAGTCTCCATTCCAACAAAATACAGAACAAAGGGAATTTTAGTTTTCTGGTTGACCTTAAAGCCCATAGCCAAAATTATAACGGGGAGACAACCGAAGACTCGTACAGCTTTGCATTTTTAAGATTTATGGCAAACTTTAAGCCTACATAGGAAAGCGAATGACCGTGGCTATGCCGACCTACTCTCATCATGGTGAGCCGAGCCCAACCACAACCCCCTACAACTTGAACATAGACGGTACGCACGAACTCTATATTGGAAAGCATATCATCATACAAATAGGTCACTGCCCTCATGAACTCCCATTCTCCATTTCTCACAAAGCACAAAACAAGGATTTGGTCCTCTGTTGACCTCAAAGCCCACACCCAAAGTCTAAAGCAGGAACCAAATGAAAACTCAAACAACTTGCATTTAACATCAATGGTAAATGCCTTTATTTCTAATCCCGTGGAATCGGCTACATGAATCCTATAACTCCATTCAGTTCCACAAAAGAGCTACTGGGCTCCCGAGAAATCGAATACACATCGATCCGATTCTCGACAATTACGCAAAACACCCCATGCACATCTCAAACTAAATCCTTGAAATAGAAGAAACAGGACATGAACCTGCGCACGCTGCCCTTTCCTCCAGTGCGAACTGCGCTGGCCATCTTCTTCAACCTCTCAGTATCCATTTTCTGCAATACACCAGATCATAACAACATCAAAACTATAGTTTTTATTCTCAAATACCAAAGGAAATCAATCAAATAAATAAAAACGAAAAAGGTTTTTTTTTTTTTTTTTGACATAAAGCACGTGCCTGATCGGTGCCCGGAGGGGTAGGCGGCCTTTTTTTCGCCCGCTGCCGCCGGCGGAGTCTCGAGCCCGCCGCCGCTTTAGGGTTGGGTTTAGGTTTCGGGAGAGGAAAGCGAGAGTTTGAGGAGTGTAGATTTTGGGGGATTAAGGCTACTATAGCGCGCGACGGCGCGGTCGGTTCGGGTTTGTCAGACCGGTCGTTTAACCGCGTGAGCAACGGGCCGGGATTTAGGCGGCGTTGGAAGATCCGTCACTTTAATATATTCCATCCCCAACACACATCCTCCCCCGAGAATCCCGAAATCGGTTGCGTCCGCCAAGTTTTTTTTTTGTTTTTTTGATATGAATGGCGCGGCGCGGAGGCGATAGCCAGGAGGTAGGATGGGGCAGGGGCAGGGGCAGAGAGCGTCGGAAGATTACAGCAACTTACGAGGCGCCCTGGCAATTCATTAACCGCGAGTGAACCTGGAGCGTGCGCGGCGACAAGAAGGTACGCTGCTGGTCGATTCGCGTTCGTCTGGCTGGGAGCAGTGCCCGAAGCGTGGAGTGGTCCAGCTGGACGACTCCAGCGCGTCTCCGCGCCGACCGCGCCCTCCCTTCGACTACCCCTAACCCCCCCACCAAAGGCCATGTTGCTCCGACCGCGACCCTGGCGGTCTCCTCCGCCTCGACTCCTCCGCCAGGGGCGCGTCCTCCGACGACTTACCTCCTGCAATCTGGTTCGGTCTCTCCGACGGGCGGCGGGCCGAGCTCCCGCTCCCTCCTCGCAATCGGCAACAGAGGAACTAGATGTAGCTGCGGCGCCGCTCACCTCCTTCGACTGGAACGAGGCGCGAGCCGAGCGTCGGCACCTCCTCGTCGGACACCGGAACTGACCATCTGGGACGTCTAGTCGCCGAGGTTACCGTCGACGCAGGCTCATCGCCCACACGACAAGCGAGGTGTACGACACTTGCCTGGGGTCGGGTCGGCGTCTTGCGCCTCCGTCTCCGCGCGATCCGTCGGGTCTTCGACCTGCGCGACAAGAGAGCACGTTCCACCATATCTACGAGTCCTCCGGCCCCCGGCCCTGTCCGAGACCGCCCCTCGTCAGCGATCGCGTGGAATCATAGCAGACGCCTGCGGACATGGCCGCACGTCATTCATGGAGCAGCGCCATAGGTCGTTCGTGCTTCTACATCGCTTCCCCGACGCTGCCGTCGTCGGGCTGGACAAGCGCCACCGAGGCCAGCGTCAACGCCATCGCCTTGGCCGCCGCAAGCTCGTTCCCATTGCACCTGCGGGACGACTCCAGGCCCTCATCGGACGTCTCTCATTGGCGCGGCCGGTTGCGGCGGCCAGAGGCAGGGCCCCTCGTCCGCCGCTCCCTGCGCTGAGGGGGCCTGGACGCCAATACTTGGCCTAACCGGCCGGGCGGAGATCGAAGCAGCAGTGGTTCGTCGTTCCGCAGCCGACTGGGTGCGATCGGCCGGTCTGCGTGATATCAAGCGGTGGGTGCAAGATTCCTGAAGTGGTACTGATGTATGGGGTCTTGCGGCGGGTATGACTCCTTTCCTTAAAGCACGGTGCGCTCGATCGTGCCCGGACCGTACGCGCCTTTTTTCGCCCGCTGCCGCCGCCGAGTCTCCGACCGGCGCGCCGCTTTAGGGTTAGGGGTTTAGGTTTCGGGAGAGGAAAAGCCGAGATTTGCGCGAGTGAGATTTGGGGGATAAGGCCTACATATAGCGGCCGCGCGCGTCGGGTTCCGGTTTGTGTAACAGAAACCGGGTCCGTTTAACCCGGTGAGCTGAACGGCCGGTATTTAAGCGCGGAAGATCCTACCTCTTAATAATCCGGCACCCACCCACACCACACCCCGCCCGAAAATCCCAATCGTCCGTCGCCAAGTTTTTTTTTTTTTTTATTTGAAAGTAATGGCGCGGCGCGCGCGGAGGCGAATAGCCAGGATGGGGAGGAGGGGCAGGGGCAGGGGCAGAGGCGGTCGGAGAATCTACACTTACGAGGGCGCCTGGCAAATCTACGCGATGAACTGGAGGCGTGCGGCGCGACACAGAGGTACCGGAATGGCGATCGCGTCGCGGCTGGAGCAGTGCCCGAACCGCGTGAGATCGTCCAGGCTGGAGCCGACTGGCCACCGGCGACATCCGCGCCGAACCCGCGGCCCTCTCCGCTTGCGACCACGACTGACCCCTACCCCCCTCCACCAAGGCCATGTTCCTCTCCCCGACCGCGGACCGTCCTCCCGCCCCACTCCTCGCCACCTCCCCGACTACCTCCCGCATCTGGCGCGCTCTCGCGGGCGCGCGAGCTCCGCTCCCTCGCTCAACGGCCACAGAAACTCCGAGTACTGCGGGCCCCTCACCTCCTTCCGACTGGAACGAGGCCGAGCCGCCGCGCGCGTCGCACCTCCTCCGTCGACACCATCCTGCACCAATGGGAGCGTCGAGCGCGGAGGCCGTCGACAGCGCAGCTCAAAATCGCCCACGACAGGAAGGTCTTAACGACATCGCCTGGGGCGGGGTCGGCGTCTTCGCCTCCGCTCCGCCGACGGATCCGTCAGGGTCTTCGACGCTGCGCGACATAGGAGCACTCCACATCATTACGAGTCGCTCCCGACCCCGCCGCCGAGACCCCCTTCGTCAGGCTCGGCTGGAACACAGGACCCGCGCTACATGGCCACCGTCATTGCATGGACAGCGCCAAGTCGTCGTGCTCGACATTCGCGCTTCCCCACGCTTGCCCGTCCGTTCGCAGCTGCAGCGCGCCACCAGGCCAGCGTCCAACCGCCATCGGCCTGCGCCCCGCACATCTCCTGCCACATCTGGCACGCCGGGGACGGACTCCCCAGGCCTCATCTGGACCCTCTCCCCTTCATGCGGCGCGACGCGGGGCGGCAAGCAAGCGAGGGGCCCTGAGTCTCGCCCGCCTCTCCGCGGAAGGGGGGCCTGGATCCCCATACTGGCCTACCACGGCCGGGGCGGAGATGCGACGCAGCTGCAGTGGCTCGTGCGTCGCAGCCGGACTGGAGTGTGCGATCGCCTCTCGAACAAGCTGCAGATCCTGAGGGTCTGATGAGGGGCTTGCGGGGGGTAACTCCTCCTCATCTGTCTTTTTTTTTTTTTTGCCTTTCTTTTCTTTTACCGACGAACTGGACTGATGGCTGATATGAACTGGACCGGGTGGGTATAATGAACGTTTTCCGTTTACGTGTTTCTTCACTGCGTGTTACTGCTTAATGCGGCTGCGCTGGATTTGCTTCTGTATTTTTGCGTGTGGTGTTTAGCTGTAATGTTTGCGTTCTGCCTCTGTGCCATCCAGGTCTGTTTGCTTAGTGTATCTTGAGTAACATTGACTTTAGAACTCAGTTGGGTCAAATCTGACCTTGACTACTTCGTAGGGTGCTGTGGCGAGCCATTTCTACGCTAACATTGAGAGAATTCTTAGGCTAGACGGGTAAAGAACCATGAATTTTATGAGTGAAACATGTACCGGTTTATTCTGAACAATTGAAGATCTGCATTGGAATGTAATGACAGTAGATAAAAGCGTCATAAATACAATAAGTTTTAATTAAAAGCAACTTTGCTAGACAACTCTCTTAGATTGTGGCAGAACTGAAGGGCATGGTCGGTACATTTAGGAGTTTGTGGTTACCGGATTCGGATTGGGTGGCGATCACATTCTCGACAAAGCTGCAGATAATGAGGGTATGAGTGATGGAATAGAGGTTAATCTGGTTGATTTTCTTTCTCTTTTACTGGCGGGTTGAAAGAATGGTTTGGTGATGATATACGCTTTGACCGTATGGCAGGATATTGGTAGTGTTGAGTAGAGTGGGGTAGTACCGTAGTAGATCTTTGGTATGGATTGCATTGAAATTGGATGCTTATATTGAGTATGATTGATAATTTCTTGTCAAAGCATCTGTTTTTGCTTTGCTTTTAGAATCTGAATGATGTGAATGATGATATATATACTCTTGGTGGATGGGATACTGGTAGTGTGGTAGTTTTAGTGTTCAGTAGTTAGATTGCTGAAATGGGTTGAACTGGAATTGGATGGGTAGAATGGAATATTGTGGATAATTTCTTGTCAAGGCATGATCTTGAGTGGCTATATTTTTTCTTTGGTCATTACTTTTTTTTTGCCTAACATACCATTTTTAGGTTTTTGTGTGGCTTTCTCATTGGAGAACAAATAGTTATGCACCGTATAGATTGTTTGCTCGTGACGCTGGCTGTAATATTTAAATTCTGTCTCTGCCCTCTCCAAGTTTGCCTGCATATGGGCTTTTGAGTAGAATTTGTCATAACCAGTAAGAGGCAACTACACTGCTGGCTTGACATGATGTTGAAAAATATTAATCCTCTTGTTTGTCATGGAAAGTCTATGGTACTCCTCATGATCTTACTTGGTAGAAGACATGAACTATGACATTATTTGTTGAAATGATAATTTATGGATCTCAGGAAAGATTGCTTGCGGTGTAATGTTATCGTCTGGCTTTAGGTGATGCCTGTTTTCCTGAAGGCTTGGGTACGTTATTGGTTTGTGATTGAAGGTTTCCCTTTTCGAAGGCACATATTTTCTGAACAGTGGAGCATTTGGACTAGACATGAATCTAAGTTTTGCGTCGTTGCAGATTTGTTGCGAGGACGATAGACAAAATTCCGTCTACTGGAATTCATTTAGATCAAATCTGACCTTACCTTGTTTTGCAGGTTGTTATGATGAAGCTATTCTGATAACACTTATGATAACGTCAAGGTTAGTGACTATTAACTGGTAAAATGATTATTTTTATTTAGTATAAATTTATTCCTGGTAAGCTAGATGAAAAGATATGACACCTGATTTCGCTCGAGTACAAACGATTGATTGTATTCCAGCTATTTTATGTTTCTGTAACAAATGTGAACTAGTGCGGTAGTCTGATAGATGTTAATGTTGCAATGAGTATCTGCAAGTAAAGCCTGATTTGATGAGGTCCGAACCCTACCATAAGTTCCTCGTGCGATGGCTCCGGACTGCAGACGGGTTACACGCCGGGACGATTCTAGAAACGATCTGAGATTAATCTGTGTCGATGTCTCTTTGCTGGTCATGTTGGCGGTGACCCTCGGAAGTTCTCCGTCTTTAACCACCGTTCTTCTAGGGGTCTGAATCTTGATATACTTAAACACACTCATATCAGCTCATAGTTAATAACTACTTGCTCACCCTTCCAGCTTGTTTTATGTCTTTGTTTCATGCATCTTGTGCTGGTACAGAATTACCCAAGGTCTGCGTATGACCTCTAGGAAAGAACCACAAGAACTTATTTCAGTATATTACCTGTGTGTTCAGAGGTGAACTCCAAAAATTTTTGTTCTCCCTGGTTCGATTGTTGTATATATTAACAGATTTACAGATTATGCTGACAATTTAGGCGGTTTTCTTCAATGGAGGGGAACTCTCATGGAACTTGAAAGCATAAGAAATATAGTTCATGGTATCCTTTTTTTTTTTTGACCCCCTAGGAGGAGGGATGGGCTTTGAACTCTATCTGAGCGCATTTTTACTAATTTGTGCCTTGTTTAAAAGGCTCATCTTTTGGAAAGTGATGTAGACCACACTATATTTAGAGACAACTATGTCATGCCTCGGGCCCACAAGCTTGTTGGCATAGAGCTTGTTGGCACGATGTATGCCCCAAGATCTAGTGAGTGCAACACATTGTTTGGCTTAGTCTACCGCTAAAGATTGTTGTCTAGTATTGCACTTGACTCCGATGAGTTTACTATTTAAGCTGTAGAACTATATTTTAGATATCAAAATCATTCCATCAAAAATACACACACGACGTCGCATCACGATATGATAATTGGACAATCCTAATGTCACCACTGGGTGATGTGAATTCTATAAAGGTAGCTCTTGTGGGTTCTTAGTGTAGCTCCCACCGTGCTCACATGATTTTGCTCTTAGTCTTGCATAGCACTTAGTACCATACTTTTGGCTGACAACTTGTTCTGATACCATTTGTCACGTTCCTATCCCACGAGCCTTGGACCCACTGAATGCGTCATGTTTTTTTTTTGTCTCACTCTACGACAAAAGAAATGGCTAGCCAATGTTGCAATTTACTCCCGTGACTTTACCATTTAGACCCATCTAATCCCCACATTAAGTACGCGACGTCCTCGTCACGACATGATAATTGGTCCATCTCAATTTCACCATCAGACGATGTGCATAGTATTTAGTTCCACACTTCTACCTCGGTAACTAATCTGATAACATTCGTCACGCCTCGCGCCCGCGAGCCTTTTGACGCGATATAAGCTTTGAGACTTAATGAGTGCAGCACGCTGTTTGGCTCAATCCACTGCCAAAACTAGCTAGCCATTATTGCGACTAGACTCCCAGAACTGACTTGTATAAACCCATCCATATCACCATATTTGTATTATGGTATCTTGTAGATATCTTGTATTATGATAATGGCGTAGGAGGAGATGTTACCTAACATTATGCTTCATCGGGTTTTACTCCATTAGCTCGGTAACTACTTGAGGATGACAGGTGGAAGAAACCTGACCGTTAAGCTATAGCAAAGATTGTCCAAGTGGTTTCTATGTAGTGTTTGTAGTCCCCTTGATATATAGTTTGGATTTTTCTCTTACATTTGAAACACACTGATCTGCATAAGTTTCAAGCTGTATCTTGAGACTCATATAGCACATAATAATATTAGCGAGAATATACCCTTGTTGCATGCTCCTCCCATTTTCAGTCTCATGAATCACTTCACTGTTACCTTGTATTACTCAAGAAACAAATCCTAAATGGGTTATAAATCTCATTCAAGCACTTTGTGCGTGATTACATTCTCATTTACACTTGTGAAGGTAAATTTGGAGCTTACGTTGGTCGAGGTGAAGATGGTCAGAAAAGCCTAAGTTCTATCTACTATTTTTTTCTACTAATACTAGTTTTTATGCCCGTGTAATGCACATGGTGAAATATCATTTTTTTTTACTACAGCTTAATGAGATTAATTTTGGGTTGAAATCTCTAAACTTTGATTATTGAGTCTGCCATAGTTTATATTTAAACATTTTGAAAATTTTGATGAAAGGTTTTTTGTGTGCTAAACCGGGACCAATATATTTTTATATACTTGCGTATAGTAACATCACTTTTTATCAATTTGCATATCAAACTTATGTGATATATTTGTTTATCAAATCATCGATCTCCAATCTTTATTTTAGTCACCAAGTATATGGTTAAATTTGAAGAAACTTTACAATAATCTGTTCTTGATGTGTTTGAAAATAGATATAAACCAATTTCTACAAAGAGATCTTGACCTGAGTTAAAAACACTAAAGAGCTAACAGTTTACTAAGATTGTGTTTATTAGTATATGATCTTTCCTTATAGTCTACTAGGCTCATGGGGCATCACAATTAAAGAGGAAATTATTAGATTATTAAATTGTATAATGTATAAAAATTATATAGGGGCTATTTGAAATTCTTGTATATTTTTTATTTACTGTCGGGTTTGAAATTCCAAGGTGTTTTTATAAATTTGTAATTTTTGAGGGAGTTTATTTGTTATTGTTTAAAATTTTATCTAAAGACCGGTAATATTTTTTATGCGTTGGTTTCTTGAAAGGGACACTTGGTCATATACACATTGATCATCCAATATATGAAGCTTTATGTATATTTATTGGATTAATAAGAAATATATCAGCAACCAAAGCAACAAATTAGCAATGTAGTAATTTTAAAGCCTATTCTTAAAAGAAAGACGAATAAGTGAAAATTTTTCATCTAGTGAAGGGAGAATATCAACTTAGATCCTTTCCTTTTCCACACCAATAAAAGAAGATTGAAATAACAAGAATAGAGAGAGACCTCTATAGAATATGATTCTCAAATCAATCACTACTATTTGCCGTTTTGTTGAATATCTTTTCTTGGAAGGACGGGAGAGAACATATTAGGGGAGAAATCATGCCCAAACAAGAGTTGATATGCTTTAAATAGAGACTAAGAACCAATTTTAACCCAAAAGCTATAGCTGTTAGGTATTAACCCAAACTTCTATTCAAACTCATCATTCTTTCTTATCTTACCGATATGAAACTATACCCACATATTAATCACCTCCACGACGACTTCTCTCGTGGGCTAAATAGATCATGCATATTGCATATTGCAGATATAAAACTTTTTTTAAATTAGAATTAGGCCCTAAACCTTGAATTAAACCATTCGTTTCTGTTAACATCGTCATTTTAGTTAACACATTAGCCCCTAACACAAAGAGAAGAGGGAACAGAGGATCCCCTTATCTTACACCTCTTTTAAAATAGATCCATTTTTCATGATTACACTTCAACATAATAGCATATTTTCCTCCCCATAAACACATTTGAATCCACTTAGAACCAAAACACTTAGCCTTGACATATCCAAAATAAATCTCCAATCCAACATGTTATATGCTTTTGCATAGTCAAGCTTTCCAATAACTATCCCATCCCCCCCCCCCCCCCCCCCCCCCTCCCCTCCCCCCCCCCTCCCCCCCCCCCCCCCCCCGCCCCCCCCCCCCCCCCCCTCCCCCCCCCCCCCCTTCTTTCTTTTTGTGTCCAAAGCTATCATTTATTATCTCTTGAGCACCCACTACACCATCTCCTAATAATCTACATATAATAAAACCAGTATAAACAGGATCAATCAAATTTTCAAGTTTGTAACTCAACCTGTTTGTTAACACTTTAGTACTAACTTTGTAAATGACAATTAGTAAACTAATTAGTCTAGAGTCTCCTACTTCCATAGCATCCGTGTTTTTAGGAATTAAAACCACATGGACAAAATTAAATCTATCCATCTCTAACTTACCTTCATAAAATTCTATAAACACTTTCCTATATATATGCACTGAATCTGTACATAAACCATGGATTGGAATGCATGAACGCATATCTTTTTGACATTCTAAATTAATTTATTTAGAATTCACCCTTTGACCAAATTAAATAAGATGCATGCATTCAGGATGTAGGCTATTGCCTTTCTATGAATGACCAACTTTTACAAATATGGTGTTTACATTTTTTCTTTAACAACTTGAATCCATGCGTGGTTCGAGATACACTCTCCTTCATATTCATGCTCATATTAGATGCATGCATATTAATATTTATGTTTAATTTGACCAAAAGAAACATGGCATGTATACACATTAGCAAAAGCAATGCACAAAAAGTTCCTGTTTAAGATGTCCACTTTTGGGTGATTTAAAAGTTTGACCAAAAGTTTGATTTAAGCTTCATATCTACGCGTAAAGAGTAAAATATAGGTAAAACAAGAAAGAGATGCAAATATACTATCCTCTTTATTACATTAAAAGTAAAGTGTGCAAACAAATGTTTTTATGAACAAAAAATGGGAAACACTAGAGGCACACCCTTAAACCACACTCCCAACCACATCCCTCTCCTAGCTACAGTGTTTTTGGAGCCCACATGCTTTATTTAAAAAACCTAAAAACATTGTAGCTGGGAGAGGGATGTGGTTGGGAGTGTGGTTTAAGGGTGTGCCTCTAGCGTTTCCCTTGAATGTATGAATTCTCATAATCTATTTGTTCAAACATAAAAATACAAATAAATATTAATTATGTTTAAATGATCTTAAAAATCAAATTATGATAAATATTTGGGTTATTTCGATATGGGTCCCTAAAATCTTTGAAATTGCTCATGCGTCCCTCAAATCCTAAAAGGTCTGGCAAACTGGTTCCCAAATGACCAGAATATCCTTCAACTAATATTTTTCTGAACACATTGGGGTATGGAAGGAACATAAACTGAGGGTATGTATGTCACTGAGGGATTAATTTGTAAGACCCCTTAGGATTTGAAGGACTCATGAGCAATTTCAAATATGTGAGGGACTAATATGCACTACCATATATTTTCTCTAACGCAACGGTTTAAAACTGTCGCGTTAGCATCTAAACCGTTGCAGTTGCACAAACGCAACGGTCAGCAAACTGTCTTCATTGCTGCCGTTGCCCTAGCCATAAGGCAGCGGTTGCAAAACCTAACGCAACAGTTTCTAAGACAAGGCTAACGCAACGTTTTTCACAAAATGCAACGTTTTCTGTAGCGGTTTACTGATGCCTAATGTAACGGTTACATACACAAAGGCAACAGTTATTGCAAATGCAACAGGTTTCAACGATAGTTTCTTGATACCTAATGTCGCGGTTTTGTACACAAGGGCAGCGGTTTTTCCAAAATCAAGGACCAAAGGCAACAGTTTTTTTGTAGCTAATGTGACGTTTTGCTTTGCTATGACAACAGTTTTATAAGGCTACGGCAACAGTTTTATAGGGCTATATCAGCACTTTTCAAGAAATTTGACCAATAAGCAAACACAGTTACGTAAACCAAAATAAAAATGGAATAAGAACACACTACAATAAGATATCATCAAAATGAAAAATAATGAAGCATTCATATGTTTTAAGCCCATCATTCAAAAATAAGTAGTTACAAGATAACTTCAACTCATCAAAATATGATCAATTCACAACCATCAAAATATGATCAATTCACAAGTACAAATCTGTTCCAAAAGATTCATATATCAAAGCCATCTTGGCCGCATTCTCCTATTTAAGTCTTTACATCCCCTGCAAAAAATAAAGAAACGTATCAAATATCATGTTAGCAACTAACTGGAAAGGTTGGAAGTCATAACATCGTTAACTAGGTTTGTTGGAAGTCATAACATTTGTTAGTAGACAATTCTGTAGGCTGCGCTTACATGATTTAGTCATTAGACACGCATTTTAAAAGCCAAATCACAAGAAAAGTCATACGATGCAAGAAATCGTGCTTTCTAGTGTTAATCTCGTCTTTCAAATTCTAGGTTCTTGGTGTGTCCATGAGCATTTGGATCTTAGAACATTTATTGGACACATCAACGGTATTTTCTTGTTGATTATGACAATATCATTGTCATGAGAGCATCACATGGTTTCCTATGGCTGATAGCCCCAGACCTTTGACACCTATGTCACACATGCATATGCACTAATGCTATTGATTATTCATGTCTATTATATGATATTCACCAAGCCTTTAGCGACAACAAAGATTCTTCAAGTTACGACAAGGAGACAAGGGGAAAAAAACAGTTTCAGTTAATAAACTGGTACAGTTCCAAGAAATCATTACTGGCAAACAAATAAGGGTTACCAAGCTTAGTTTTATCACCTATGTCAAACATGACAGTGCAAGAAATCATTACTGGCTAGATTTCAACAAATGCAGTCACATAACACTTAATTTAGAAACAAACAATCAAGACCATAATTTTTTTTTGAATCATAGCTTACAATGGATTAAGGTTCGGAGGAAGATTATAAGGAATTTGGCCTCCATTTGCAAGGCCATTGCTGCTCATGTCCCTGCACAATATGAAGGAGATTAAATCTTTCAAAAAAATCACTTACAAAATTTAAATATAAGATTACTCATAGAGAAGCAATGGCACTCAAAGATCAACTACCAAAGTCATAGTTTGCATGTCGTAGACCAATGTTCATTTCAAACATGAACATATTGTATTATAAATAACTTACAACCATTTAAGGTTTGGTGGAAGATTAATTCTTAATCTTGAATTAGAAAAAAAATGGAACAATACAAGGAAAGTGAAAACTAATCTAGAACTAAATTGGTAATGATATTACAAAGATGCACATGTTTATAAAAGTAAACAAAATTGAGAAAAATATATGATTATGAAATATAAAATTTAGGACTTACAATTTTATCGGGAACAATTATATAGCATATTTTCAGATAGTGAACCTCCTTGGCCTGTTACACAAAAGAAATGTGATACAGTTGTTACACTAGAATACACTTAAACGTTCTCTTAAACTAAACAGAAGAAACAAATGAGTATACGAACCTGATAATGATTCTGTTTGTTGGAAATTTGATGTAAAAAAACAATGAAAGAAAAATTGATTTGTATTCCTCTCAAAATCGATTACAATTTGGATTCCGATTACAAAAGAGAGGAGAATGAATTTGACTCTCCCATTTGTTTAAAACTGGGTTCTTTACGGTGGCGATGGAGTGCCTCCTTCGATTGATAGTGTCGAACTTGCTCTCCGTTGACGATCCGACCATCTTGATTCACTGGAACGTAGTCTTCTCCTCACGATTTGACGCTGTGGAGAACTTGCAAAGCAAGTTTGAAACTCTGGACGAGTTGATAACTCTGGACGAGTTGATAACTCTGGACAAGTTGGAAACTCTTGAAAAAGAGTTGATTTGAACCGAGTTGATTTAATCAGCCAAGGGAATGCTCCTGTTGCCGATCTTGAAGATGATCTCTGTTAGAGAATGATGCCGATCTCCAAGAAATTCCCTCTTTGCTGCCAAGTCTAAGATCCCAAAAGCCAGCCCTTGACCGAGTCTCCCTTTGTTGATGAGAGAAAATCCTCTCCTTTAACTCAATTGAGTTTCTCGTATTTATAGGGGATTAAGGGGGTGTAACTGCCCCCTTAATTTGCTCCTCAATGGGCTGAGTGGGGTGTAACCGCCCCCTCTTAAACAGCTCCCTAAATCGTGGGGAAAACGGTTTTGAAACAGTTCTGTTAGTGCTTTGAACGAGTCAAAACGCCGAAAACAGCGTTCTGGGCCCGAACTGTGCGTTTCTGGACCTGAAACGCAGAGTTAGGCCTGAAAACGCACAGTTGGGCCTGTTTAAAGGCTGAAAACGCACAGGTCGTGCTGTTTTAGAGATGAACTTGCGTTTTAGGCTGAAAACGCAGAGTTGGGCATGTTTAAAGGCTGAAAACGCATAGTTTGGCCGTTTTAGAGGTGAACTCTGCATTTTAGGCTGGAAACGCAGAGTTGGGCCGTAACTCTGCGTTTTGATGTTATATCACAAGGATAACCTCTGCGTTTTGAGGTTATAACGCTGGTTCGACCTGTGCGTTTTGACTCTGTAATGTAGAGGCGAACCTTAGGCGGGCTTGGCGAGCTTCAAGCTAAGTCCAATGTTCTGACGAAGTCCGGTCTTGTAGACGGACTTCAGAACATAATTTGCTACGAAGAACAGGTCATAACTTTCAAACCGTAAGTCGGAATTGGACGAATTATATATGAAAATCGGCTATCTCGACGAGACGGGGCCATCCGAACCAGGCTTCGGTTCGCTTCCTCCGTTTCTCTAAATTCCTTACGGTTTGAGAGATATCTGCATTCTAATATGAAGAGACCGTCAATTTGTAGTCTCTTTTGCTAGAGCTTTGCACAGATCGTCCTCTTGTAATCTTCGTCTTGGCTCCTTGAAAATATGAGAGTCGTCAGATTGTAACTCCCGATGTTGATTGTGAAGGCTGTTGAATTTGGGCTTTCATTAGTTGTTGTGAAGGTCGTCAGATTGTAACCTTCTACGTGAAAGTCCTCAAATTGTAGCCTTCTGGAAGTCGTCAGATTGTAACTTCTATCATCGGTGTTTGATGGGGGATCAACTATCTATTGTGATTTTTAGACAGCCTACAGAACCCCCTCCAAAGTTTTCGAAAGTTCGCGGTTGACTGGGACGAATTTTCGGAATACTTTGGATCTCAACTCTGATCTTGGAGCTGTTGATTCCTTGTCACAAAGGAGTTGTTCTCTTCACACGCTTCGAAGGCAGCTTGGTTGAAGGGATTTTCCACGCAGGACCTGTGTGAAGGTATGCGCCATAATCCTGCTTCTGGAATGTGGGGGTGGACCCTGCATTTTGAACTTGAGATGCGGGTTTCACCCTTGCATGTTGAATTTGGAACACGGGTGTGACCTCGGCGTTCGGTTTTTGCATCGCGGGTCTGATCTCAACGTTTTGACTTAAGACATGGAAGTAGCTTCCGTGCATTTTTGACTAAGTCTTTGAGACTCGTCTTTGGCGCATCTGTTTTAAGTCTCGACTCACATCCATTAAGCTAATGGATCTACGAACATGCATAGGATTTTTGGCAAACCCTCAGCCATCAACGGATTTGATAAGTCTTTACCGACTACCGTTTGAGTCGGGCTAGCATGTGAATTATTTAAACCCGTTTCACATGTAACGTTGTGCTAAGAGAATGAACCCTCTTAGACTTGATGCTATGATTTTGAATACATAGACTTTGTCATTTTCACGGAAAAAGACTAACCGGCAACGCGTGTTAGGTGTAGGCTTATCTCTAATTAGGGATCGAGATAAAGATCCCCATGCGTGTGAGGCATGGATTTTGGCGTTATTAATAACAATCTGCCACGATGTTGAATACATGGGCTTTTATCCTTTTTACGGTCAAAGACTAACCGGCAACGCGTGTTAGGCGTAGACTTATCCCTACTTAGGATCTGGGATAAAGTTCCCCGTGCGTGTAAGGCACGGATTTATTAATAACGACCTGCCACGATATTGAATACGTAGGCTTTGCCCTTATCGCGGGAATAGGCTACCCGGCAGCATGTGTTAGATGCAGACTTATCTCTGTTTAGGGATCAAGATAAAGTCCCCCATGCGTGTGAGGCATGGATTTCGGCGTTATTAATAACAACCTGCCACGATGTTGAATACGTGAGCTTTTGTCCTTTTTACGGTCAAAGACTAACCGGCAACGCGTGTTAGGCGTAGGCTTGTCCCTACTTAGGATCTGGGATAAAGTTCCCCGTGAGTGTAAGACACGGATTTATTAAAAACGACCTGCCACGATATTGAATACGTAGGCTTTGCCCTTATCGCGGGAATAGGCTACCCGGCAACATGTGTTAGATGCAGATTTATCTCTGTTTAGGGATCAAGATAAAGTCCCCCATGCGTGTGAGGCATGGATTTCGGCGTTATTAATAACAACCTGCCACGATATTAAATACGTAGGCTTTGCCCTTATCGCGGGAATAGGCTACCCGACAGCATGTGTTAGATGCAGACTTATCTCTAATTAGGGATCGAGATAAAGTCCCCCATGTGTGAAGGCATGGATTTTTGGTGTCGTTTCTTCCTGTGTGGCTTGAAACACCGAAAGAAAGTTGTAAGTACCAGAGGTGTAGTATTAGCTTAGCATGAATTTTCACCTAAAGTGAAATTCAAAATTTTCATCACTATCACTAGGATAATTCCAGAAAATCTTTAATCCACTGGGGATTTTATAATAAAAACTTGTTATTCTTGTTGAGAAAGAATTAACAAGTTCATTGGGGAGTTTGACTGTTAGAGGTGTGATGTTAACCTAACAGTATTTTATGGACCTATCGCTCTATTGAAGAGAGTCGATAAGTTGATTTGGTCGTCAGAGGTGTGGTGTTAACTTGACGGGTTTGTGGATCTATCGCTCCATTTAAGAGAGTCGATAAGTGGATTTTGTCAGAGGTGTGATATTAACGTGACAAGAAGAATTTGCGATCAGGCAATTTTGAGGACTTATCGCTCTATTGACGAGAGTCGATAAGTTGATTTTGTCATAGGTGTATTGTTAACGTGATAGGATTTGTGTTGCGATCAGAGCAACTTTGTAGACTTATCATCCTATTGACAAGGATTGATAAGTGGGTTTTGTCAGAGGTGTATTGTTAACGTGACAAATTTTGTGTTGCAATTAGAGCAACTTTGGGGACTTATCATCCTATTGACGAGGATTGATAAGTGGGTTTTGTCAGAGGTGTATTGTTAACGTGACAAGATTTTGTTGCGATTGAAGCAACTTTGGGGACTTATCATCCTATTGACGAGGATTGATAAGTGGGTTTTGTCAGAGGTGTATTGTTAAGGTGACAAATTAGGAGTGATGCAAACTGAATGCATACTCTGTGGAGATTATGATCGTCAGAAGTGTAATGTTAACTTGACGATGTGAAAAATTCGTTACTCTTAATCCAGTGGATTCTAAGTAATCAACCCCCAGTCTTGATTAAGACTTAGCAGAGGCATAAAAAGAGGTAGACAAGGCATATCACCTAGTGGGGCACTATCTATGAAGTCGGAATAGGGTCACATCACCAGGTAGGCCATTATCTGATGAGTTTGACTATCAGAGGTAACTGTTAACATGATAGTTTTGTGGACCTGCCATCCTATTAAAGAAGATTGGCAAGTTGATGGATTATCAGAGGTAACTGTTAATATGGTAGCTTTGTGGACCTGCCATCCTATTGAAGAGGATTGGCAAGTTGAGGGACTATCAGAGGTAACTGTTAACGTGATAGTTGTTGGACCCGCCATCCTACTGAAGAGGATTGACTTCAGTGGCCGTAGTATCTTTCCCTTCTGACTGGGAAGAGTGAGCCTGGTCCAGTTGCTCAGGAGAAGAACGTGATAGTTTTGTGGACCTGCCATCCTATTAAAGAGGATTGGCAAGTTGATGGACTATCAGAGGTAACTGTTAACGTGATAGTTTTGGCGGATTTCGTGATTGACAGAGGTATTTTATTGAATGTGACAACTCAGAAAATTTATTATTCATAATTCAATGAACTACAAATAAACCAACCCCCAGTCTTGGACAAGTGCAGAGGAAAAGGAGCAGACATGGCGCATCGCCTAATGGGCCACTATCTAACGAGTTTAACTATCAGAGGTAACTGTTAACGTGATAGTTGTTGGACCTGCCATCCTACTGAAGAGGATTGACTCCAGTGGCCGTAGTATCTTTCCCTTCTGACTGGGAAGAGTGAGCCTGGTCCGGTTGCTCAGGAGAATATTGGGCTTGATCTGATTGCTCGGGCTGATCCTGCCTACTTTGTTCTTCAGCTTTGATCCTGACAATAATTTTTTGAGCCTGGTCGCCTTGAGAAATTAGTTGTCTCCAAGAACGTCATTCTGCAACTTC